GGAACTCTTGATGTCACCAAGTTCCCAGAATTATAGGCGGTCACAAAATCCTGGAAAAGGGCTTGAAGTCAATATTTTTAAAGAAAGCAATGTGCCTTATCTAGAACTGGAATTGCACAACAGAATAAAGGCTTGTTCAGAGTCCTTAAAAATGTCTCAGCTTATCAAACTTTTAACATAGATGGACTCCCCAAGCCCTCCGTTATCTGGCAGAGGACCATTTGTTCCTACTGAGCCAGTACCACTCAAAAGTTACTGCAGACAACAGTTTGTGAATAAATCACATTGTAAAACCATTGGCCTATTTCACCACAAGTAAAACTAGTAGATTTGGATGTTTATACAACCTGAAGACATCCCTTCCTAACCTCCTCACTGAATCCTCTTCCACTGTCACCCCTTGAACCCTGGTGGGCCCTAAGCCCCATCCTCCAACCTCCTTTTATTCTTCAGCCTGTACCCTAGTCATGTTTGCATCCGTGTTCTTACTGGTCTGGGTTTTTCTTTTATTTTTTAAAAAACCTGTGGTATGATATACAGAACATGATATTTACCTTCTGAACCACTTTTAAGTGTGTAGCACATTAGCACAGTCACACTGTTGGGCATCTATCACTACCCATCCATCTCCAGAACTTTTTCCATCCTCCAAAACTGAAACTCCATACCCCTTACGTACTACCTCCCCACGCCCCGCCTCCTAGTCCCTGGCAAACACCATTTTGCTTTTTGTCTCTATAGATTTGACATTCTAGGTCATTCTAGGTCCTTCATATAAGAGGAATCATACATTTGTCCTTTGAGTTTAGCTTATTTCATTAAGCATGCCTTCAAAGTCCGTCCATGCTGTAACATGTATCCAAATTTCCTTCCTTTTTAAAGCTGAATAATAATCCATTGTATGCTTATTACCACATTGTGTTTATCCATTCATCTGTCAATGAACATTTGGATTGTTTCCACCTTTTTGACATTGTGAATACTGCTGCCATAAACATTGGTGTACAAATATCTGTTCAAGTTCCTCTTTCATTTCTTTTGGCGATACATCCAGAAATGGAATTGCTGGACCATGTGGTAATTTTATGTTTAATTTTTTGAGAAACTGCCTGCCATATTGTTTTCCACAGTGGCTGCACCATTTTATATTCCCGCGAATAATGCACAAGGGTTCTAATTTGTTTCAACAAATGTGCTTAATGGCCTTTGGTGAGTCACAATTTCTCCGGGCCTCAGTTTCCTTATCTATAAAATGGGGGGATCAGAATAGACAACAGACAATCTCTAAGGTTTCTCCTAGCAGTAAAAAACTGTATTGGCCTAATTAAATCAAGTTGCAATTAAAGCCAGAAAGTAGTCTGAATGGTTTATAAGCATGACTTGATACCTTAAGCTCTTTTCCTAACACAAGACACAAAGTAATCATTTTTCAAAGGACAGAGTCGAACAATGATTTCATGCATCCAGCTTTCATTAATGACATTACTGGCCACCTCCTGAGCATTTAATCTATGCCGAACACTGTTCCAAGTATCCCCTGCACACTATCTCATACCCTAGTTGTACAGATGAGGAAACTGAGGCATGGCAAAATTAAGCTATTTGCCAAAGATAACACAGCTAGTGAGTGAAAGAGCCACGATTTGTCCTTGGACAGCTCTGCTATGGAGGCAGGTTCTTCACCATCACACCCAGACGAAGCCTTTCCTTCTTGGTGAACGAAGCCTTTCCTCAAGTCTTGAGTGCTCTTAACTGTTTTCTTGCTTTTCCTTGATCACACTTCCATTTAAATGTCTCAGCCCTCTGCAGAGGAGAGCTGCATTTCCTCAGCTATGGCATTTAAGCTTTTTATTTTTAGGCATAGAGGCTGAAATGTACAAAAGTGTCCCAGAAATCCTCTGGGTAAATGTATTTTAGTAATTTTATCAGATACCTTTTTCAAGGGTTTTCCAGAAAATCACTTTTAAGGAATGCTCCTTGAAGAAAGAAGAAATCGAATGCTGAAGGTGTTCTGGACAATAATCTTATGACGTGGGTTTTATTACCTTGAGTTTGTAAGCAAGGACACCAGGATTCAGAGAGGTGCAGTAACTACCAAGGTCACTGAGCCAAAATATAATAGAGCTAGGAGGTAAGCCTGTCACCAAGGAAAGCCCATGCTCCTTCCTCCAGGGAGACACCCCACAGAGAACACAGAATGACACTTAGGAGAACCAGTGCAAGGTCAATGACACATCACGACCTCAGGTTCTGTCTCTACCCAGCTGAGCAACTGGTATCTGAAAGAAAACTAAAAGGAAGTGAAGAGGTTCACAGTTTCCCAAAAAGTGAAACTGCAAGGGGAGGGAACAAGTCAGTCTCCAGTGAAGATTAGGTTCACTTTAGGCACCAGAGGTTCAGTTTTCTCTTAGAACAAAGACTGTGGAGGGAGAATGTTTCTGGATAACCTATATTCACATTACCAAAAAATATTTTTACACACATCAAAGATATCTTTTAAAGTAATTGGATTTACCTGCTTAAGAAGAAGCTATCTTAATAGTTCCATATGGATCTTAATCTTGACTTAGTACTGATTCTAGGTTTCGCAGGGATTGAATGAGGGAGCTAAGATCTAGGTCCCAGATTTAGTTGGGAAGAATTCTCTCAAGAGGATTCTGAAATACTGGAATACAGTTAAGGACTACTGCAGTTTTGAAGAAAAAAAATCAAAAGAAGCAGATGTGAGTGATGTCCAACTCAAATGATGAGGCCTCAAGATTTCCCCTGGATCCAGACAAAAGAGAGGAGATATTTATCGGAGAAACGCTGACCTGGATTGTTAACCCTATAGAGAGAACATGAAAGTTTCCTAAGGCACAGACTGACTTATTTCCTACACTTCACGGTAGCAAGCATAATGACATTCATACACCATGTGAACAAGACACATTTCTTTATACTTTGAACTAGTACTTTCATTTGAATCATAAACTCTGGGGTTTTCTTTTACATTTTAAAAATGCTGAATCAGGGGCGCCTGGGTGGCTCAGTCGGTTGAGTGTCTGACTCTTGATTTCACCTCAGGTCATGACTTCTGGTTCATGAGATAGAGCCCTGTGTCAGGCTCTGTGCTGACAGTGGGTAGAGCCTGCTTGGGACTCTCTCTCTCTATCCCTCCCCTGCTCATGTTCTCTCTCTCTCTCTCAAAATAAATAAAACTTAAAAAATAATGCTAAATCAGCTACAGAAATTGAACTAAATATGTGCACTATGAAAAACCATTAATATAATGATGGTGGTTGTAGGCCACAGGGGTTTAGCAGGCCTTAAGAGCCAGATTATGGACCATGGTCCTGGGAAAGTAATAATGCAAAGCAAGCCTGATTCTGTAGCATGATTAGGTTGTGTTAAAGTAGCTTAGGTCATCAGAGTTAGCCGGAGCCAACCTCAGCAAGTGCTGTTCCCTTCCAGAAGTTAAACTTTAGGGCATGAATCCACAAAGAAAAGCCCTCCTTTGTATTTTATTCATAAAATTATAAAAGCCACATTCTTGGTTTCCTCAGTCTAAAACTTCTACTAACTCTACGACTCAGTTGTTCTTGCGGACATATGCCATTGTTAGGAGATATTTGGCAGAATCCAAAGTGACTTCACTTTTATTTCTATAGGAGATTAGTGTTTCCTCAATATCAGGGGGGTACTGGCACCTAGCCTTGGGAATCAAGTTACCAATTACAATTCACTTTGACGATATTTGCCTGAAAAGGATTTCTGTGATTATTTCACTTTTAGTGATACGGAGAATTCTCAGGGATAATCGTGCCTTCAGCCAGTACACAGTGACCTGCATACAAAATGTTTTTGAAAAGGCACTGATCATATGACTGAAGATTTCTAAAGGGAGTCAAGTCTGTCAACATGATAGCCAATATTTCCCAAATTTTGTTTTTTTGCCTCAAATCACTGAAAAGGACATAACTTAAGGAAAGTAATTCTTATCCCATAGAAATTATCCAACAGAGAGAATGGATTGTTCTGATTTTTCCCTACTAGAAGAACTGAGCTTTTATTCACCTTTATTCCCCTATGCATACAGCAGGTGATAATACATGATTTATAAATTCAACTAATGTGGTTATAGGAATGATCCAGATTATGTGTGCTTTTTTATTTTCAACATAAAAGCATCAAATCCAAGTTTCTTCCTCACTTCAAAATAAGGCTTCCAACATGGTACCTTAAATGCACACAAAAAAGACTTTTCATGATACATTAACTGCACTGCACCTGAATCTGGGCCTGGCACCTCACTTATTATTCATAAGAATGATATGAATGCAAAAGGAATCTGCAGAAGTTCGGAAAACCTCTCCTGGCTTCACCCAGCACGAAGGGAAAGGCCCCTTCACCCTGCTTCTTGGACACTGCAGACAGAAACAGTCAGTATGTAAACAAACCGGGGTTCACGTGACCCAACACCCTGGCATGTCCTGACTGTATAAAGGAAGTGCATCATTTCACCTACACTAAAGTCACAGGTGCTAGAAATACTTGATAGGTGGCAAACAATGGTACCAACCGCTTGCATTTGGCCCAGAAAGAACTATTGCATAACAGAGGAAAACATTCCGAGAGAACTCATTCTTTGATTCTGCAATTTAAAACATATATTGCAGGGGCGCCTGGGTGGCTCAGTCGGTTAAGTGTCCGACATCGGCTCAGGTCATGATCTTACAGTCCATGAGTTCAAGCCCCGCATCGGGCTCTGTGCTGACAGCTCAGAGCCTGGAGCCTGCTTCACATCCTGTGTCCCCCTCTCTCTCTGCCCCTTCCCTGCTCATGCTCTGTCTCTGTCTCAAACATAAATAAACATTTAAAAAAAAATTAAAAAAAAAAACAAAAACATATTGCAGTTAGCACTGGGAGCTTACTATGGGAAGGTACTGAAAAAACACAAGCAGCACACACGGCCAGCTGGTATGCAGCTGGCCCAACCTGGCTAGGTAAGCCAGACTTACAGATTTCAGGATCCCTGTGGCATCTTCATGGAGCCATGTTGGGTAAACCACTTCATCGTTCAGTATGGCTTCAAAGAGGTCATCTTCGTTCTCTGCCTCAAAGGGGGCGTGACCACACAGCATCTCGTAGAGCAACACGCCCATTGCCCACCAATCTACTGCAGGTCCGTAGAGCATTTCCTGGAGGATCTGTGTGAAGAAGGCAATGTGAGAAGTGCTTTGCACATCTGATTAACAAATGTGTCCTTAAAGACTAGGGAAAATGTTGGATTAGGAAATATCAAAGTAAAAAAAAATGCACATTTCATGCTATCTCTAGAGACTGGTCCGTTTTCTCTGTGGTTCAACTCAGAGGACTTCTCATCCAGGTGATCAAACATTTATGGCCTGTTTCAGCCTAGGTAATGGTACGTGTGCAGATCCAAAACAGAAAGGGTGTTGGCACTGTATCCCTATAGAGGGAGGAAAATACTGGGCTCACTCACTTGCATAGGAAAGACTGAGGAACTTTATTTACTGCTGCTAAATGGGACTGGGATCAAAGCACTGAGTAGAGACAAAGAGGAAAATAACTAGCTGTGAGCAGAGCACACTTTGTCCTCATTCAGGGCTAATGCCTAAAGCAACTACAAGGTTTACAACAACATTTTTAATTCAAATTGTTATTTATAGGAACCGAGGGCATTTTCTGCCATCATTCACCCAATGAGGCATAAGGGAGTGCGGAGGCATCAGCTTGCAATGCGCCCCCAGAGCCACAGCACGCAAGAGCAGCCCGTGGCATCTCTGCTCAGGATTTCCAAAGCCGTACTCACCTCTGGAGCAATATAATCGGGTGTGCCACAGAAGGTTGCTGTGGTGACTCCATTACAAATCCCCTCCTTGCACATCCCGAAGTCCGCCAGTTTACAGTGACCCTCGTGGTCCAACAGGACGTTGTCCAGTTTGAGATCTCTGAAAGAAACAAAGAGCAGCGTGCTCTAGGGCAGCCGGGCCCCAAACCTGGGCGGGCTGGCTCATGGGGTGGGCGATCAGACCACACCAAGCAAGCTTTCTGCATACATTTCAAAGGGAACCAATGTCTTTGGGTTATCTTAGAAAAAACTTGAGACCAACTCTGAAAATTTGCCTCAGGGCTCCTAGACGATGGTCCCATATGAATAGGCTACCCACATATAAAAACCTAGGCGTGATGGTGTCCCCTCACCGGGGCATCTTCACAGCGGGCACAGGACTGTCATTCTGGAGCTTCACACCCACAGTGGGCTGTGTCAGGGCGCTCATGGCTCTATGTACCTATCTCTGCTCTGGGAATCAAGTTGTGTTGGCCTGTGTGGCCCGAGGGACAGACTGGTCTCTGTCCAGCCCAGGATCACCTTTCGGCTCAGAGGAGATTGGTGATGACAGAACTGGCGTGACCAGTTTCCAGGCTGTGCCCTGGGAGCTGATACTGTGACCACATAGGTCTTACAGAGAGAGGTCACTGGAGATACCCAGGAATGAAAACAAAGTCCTGTTTTCTAGGAATCCCTGATAAATGAGGCTAAAGCAGCAGAGTTTTCCTGGCACAGATCAGTGGGAACGCAGACCAGACCTTCTCTCTGCTCACCTGCTCCTGGCAGCAATCTCCCTGGGCATAAGCTGTGTAAGCACGCAGCTGCCCACTTCAGGAAAGGAAGCCTTTTCTGCCTCTAAACCGAATCTGGCCTTCTCCATGCAAAACCCTACTTTCCAACAAGCAACTGTTTTCAGTAGGCTGTGATCAGTGGAGATGGTTTCCTTCCCCATAGTCACCACACAATATGAGCAAGACGTTTTTTAATGTTTGTTTATTTTTGAGCGAGAGACAGAGACAGAGTGCGGGTCTGGGAGCGGCAGAGAGAGAGCGAGACACAGAATCCAAAGCAGGCTCCAGGCTCTGAGCTGTCAGCACAGAGCCTGATGTGGGTTTCAAATCCACGACCATGAGATCACGACCTGAGCAGAAGTGGGACGCTTAATCGACTGAGCCACTTGGGCACCTCAAGCAAGACATATCTGAAGGTGGAATCACGAGGTGCAGGGTTGCAGGTGGGATGACTGTGGTCCTGTACACGGGAGGAAGGTCACGGCCAAGAGCATGGTCTCTCTCAGCTGTTATTCCAGGAGTGGTTTCAGACTCTAGGCCCTATCAGTGCCTGGTCGTGTGGCTCCTCTCAGCCAGATGGCACACATTAGAAGTGGCCAAGGTTAGGGGCTTGTGGGTGGCTTAGTTAAGTGTCCGACTTTGGCTCAGGTCATCCTTTCACATGTTGTGGGTTCGAGCCCCGCATCAGTCTCTGTGCTGACAGCTCAGAGCCTGGAGCCTGCTTCGGATTCTGTGTCTCCTTCTCTCTCTGCCCCTCCCCCGCTCACATTCTCTCTCAAAAATAAATAATAAAAACATTTTTAAAAATTAAAAAAAAAAAAGAAGTGGCCAAGGTTAGAGATCACAGTCGGTCACCCCAGGGGAGAGCAAGCCCGTGGGGGATCAGAGCCTGGGGGCGAACTCTTTCAGCACCAGGTTCTAGCCCAGTCATCCAGGCCCCTGTGGACCTGTGCCTAGAGCATGCTCTCTCACTGCCAAACAAGGTTACTGGGTTTCTGAATTCTCCTAAAGCTGTTATGCCTGCTAAGGACTCATAAAGGATTTTGTTTGGTAACAGGAACAAGTGCTAACAGAAACTCACAACGGTCTGGAGAACCGACCTTTGATTGCTCAAGAGAGCTTGTGACTAACATCCCAGGTAAGAGGTCTAATTGCTTATTACTCAGTCGCTGTCATGGGCAGCAGGAATCGTTCAGGGAGAGACAAGTGCTTGCAATCAGTTCTGTAAGCTGCCCATCACAATGCCCTCTGCAGAAGTCCAGAACGCAGCCTCACTGCTCAGAAGACAGAACTGACAGCACAGTGCATCCCTGCCACAGAATGCCTGAGGCCACAGAGGCAGGTTATACTTCAATCCTGACTTTTCAGTCTAATTCTAGGCCTTCTTTAGACCTGTACAAGCCCTGAGAGAAACGCCATTGCTTGTTTTACACCAGGTGCTACTTAATAGACAAAACTCCCAAACTGGGATTCCAAGGGCGTTCAATTAAGAGCATAATATAATCCCAGGCTATTAGTTCTGCCCTCAGCCTAAATATCTCACACCTTCTCTGTAAGTTCTGTCCTGATATCCCCAGAGAGTCAACTCTGCCCTCAGAGTACCCAGTGAGTTCCTGCTCCTATAACGGCATGCCCTGCACTGTATTCCAGAAGGCTCTGTCTGTGTACCTGTCTCCCCCTTAGCTGGGGCTAAGCTTTACTCCTCCCTAGTTCCAGCTTGGTCATGGAAGAAGACGCTGACCAAAGACATAAACAGAAGCATGTCGGACAGACAGCAGTGAGCTTCCCTAGCCAGCTCAGTGCCTGTCTTATTTTCAGGGGAAGAAAGGAAGCTTCATAAACCTCACTGGGATCCTTGTTCCAAGGTAATTAAACTTATAAAAAGTGATGTGCTTTATCCCTTAGAGACAGATTCCAGAGGGAGGAGAAGAAGAATCCTGAAATGTAAGTTCAAATTCTTTGCTTTGGTGAAGCTGGAGAAGGGAAACTACTTTAGGAAAGACGATTATAAAGCAGAGAGGACCCAGTCTTAATACTTTTCCATGGCTTGCAGCCAGATGACAGAGTAAAACATTGACAGGGTTAGTCAAACAGATTCAAAGGTTACAGAGCCATTCATGGACACGGTCAGCTTCCATTTTAAGGGTAATCATGATCTTCGCTTAAAAAAAAAAGAAAACATGGGGCACCTGGGTGGCACACTTGGTTAAGCATCCGACTCTTGATTTCAGCTCAAGTCATGATCTCGCTGTTCATGAGTTGAGCCCCACATCGGCTTCAGTGCTGATAGTGCGGAGCCTGCTTAGGATTCTCTGTCTCCCTCTCTCTGTCCCTCTCTTACTCGTGCTATCTCTCCCTCAAAATAAAATAACACTTAAAAAAAAAAAAAGATGGTAAAGAAAAAAAAAAGCAAAAGCAAAAAAAGTCATTGTATGACTTCTGACTTTGAAATATGCAAAGGTCAGTTTTTGGCTTTGAAGTTCCTTAGCCTCCAATGCCAACATGTAACTCAACAGCCAAACTTAACAAGGCTACACAATGAAGATTACAAGTTCATACAGGGCAGAGGCTCAGATCCCAAAGTGCCAAATACGCAATTACCGGCTCATCCTTCATTAGGTCACTAGCACCGGTATTTAATAGCTGTAACTTTTGTCACACAATCATAGAAGGGTAGAAAGAGTTACTTTATGCATTGTTGTTGCTGCATAATCAGGGTTACTTTAAAATGCCCATAGTGGTTTCAGAGAAGCATCCCAAGTAGTTGAGGACAAAGGAAATTCAGAATTTGTATTTATTTTGTTTCCACCATGAGCTATTCTGAGAGTCATAAAACAGAATGACATGAGTCTTTCTGCTTAGATCACCGGAATCAGTGACTCTTCCAAAAGAAATAAAGGAAGGTGAGTTGTGAGCTGGCTCCTTGAACAAGAATGACTCTAAGAGGCTATTCAGTAACTATTTTTAATCCATTAAAAATTTTTTTTTATCATGGAAAATTTCAAATCTATACAAAAGTACAGAGACTAATATAACAATCCCTGTAGTGGTCACAGAGCATAAGTGCTATCAATGCATGTCCCATCTTGTTTTGTGTATACATTTACTCCATTCCTGATCCAACTTTTTTCAGATTTTGAAGCAAATCCAAGACATAAAAGCATCTCATCTGTAAATATTTTAATTTCTTAATCTGAAAGATAATAATTCTTTAATGAAATACAACATTGATATTGGTTATTAAAAATATACAGTCAATATACTATTCAAGGTATACTGCTTTTTCTCTGCTCATTTGAGTTATGTGTGTGCATGTCTGTATAACCTGAAAAAAGCTTCTGTAGAGCACAAGAGTATGACAGTAGCTAATTCAGCTACACTAAATTTTCACCAGATGCTAAGTGCTTTAGCCATATTATCTTATTTTAATCCTGAACAAACCCTGTGAACGAGGATCTCAGCAACATTATTTAGTTACCCAGGGGTAAATCCAGGATTCTCAGTTCTGCTCACCTCCTTCCAAAGCATGGGCTCATAACCCACTACAGTGGGCAAACACTCTTTTATATACTGGCATTGCATTGCTGGCTAATCCCCCTAGTAGAGTATTTCCTGAGAAGACTTCCCCAATTGCAACAAGAACTGTGTGAGAATCAATAAGTATCCCAAAAAATGAATTATGGCAAAGGGACATTTTTGTGCACATCACTATGAAATGCATCGTCAAAATCTTGCCAAAAAAATTTTTTTGGTTTGGTTTTTAGTGTGTGCATGGAGAAGGAGTTCAATGAATTTTTTCCAATCCTTGCATGTACAGGAATAGGGGAGTGCACAGCAAATGTGTCTCTAGTGGTCAAATATTCTGAAGATCATTCACTGCTCTCTTCCAAGGAAGAGAAGCTGGTACATGGATAAGGGTGAAGAGGTGGCCGAAAAGAATAAGTTTAATATTATGATCATAATTTCACAACAAAACCATTTAGGACTGGCTTGTATTTTGAGTGTCTGGGTTTATATAAACTTGTAATTTTTTTTTCAAGGCAAGACTGATTGTGTTAAATTGGTAAAAGAATGTTGAAAGGTCACTGAAACAGCAAAAGCCTAAAATCTCATTGTATCATCAGTTAGATAGGAGTGCCATTCACGTATTACCTAACACAAGATGTTTAGCCATTCACCCACCCAACAAATCTTAGAGTACCATCTATGAATCACACCATATGCAAGGGGCTCAGAAGCCTGAATGAGACAGGAAACGGCAGGAGCCTGCCAAGGCAGGGGCCAGTAAAAATTCCAGTCTTTAGCCCAAGGAGAAAGAGAAACCATT